TAACTAGTTAAATAAAATGTTCTTAAAAACAATTTCAATTCTTATTGAAGCAACTAAAAAAAAATAATTAAAATGAACTAAAAAACAACAAAACTATAGTTTTTATTAAAATAATTATAAAAAAGTTATTGGTAGATATTTCCCAGATTTGGTAGATTTTTTTCAAGTGGAAGGTAAATATTTTTTTTCGTCAGTNTGTGACAGTCTCTGAGCGATATGTATGTACATACATCTCAATTGTATTGAAAGGATCGCCACCATCATGCCCACCAAAAGCGTAAATCTTTTCATTTAGCATCACAACACACAGATCATCACGACACTGGGACATGCTTGCCATTTCCACCCACGTAAAAGTTTCCATATTAAATCGTTTAACGGTATTGTTTCTTTGGACGCCTCGGCCGCGGCCACCAATAAAGAAAAGACTACTCTCGTAGTAAACCAATCCATAGCTATAGTCTCTGAATTTAAGTTCGAAGCATTTTTGCCATTTCTTCATCGCTGAATTATAGCGAAGGATGTATTTTAATTTCTATAAAATGTAAATTAATTAGACAGCAGATAAGACATATAAAATCTATGGTAAACATATATACATGTACGTGCATTAGAAATTTAATATGCTCAGGGCCACTTAAACACTGGTTTAATTGATAAACTGGTTTGCAACGCCGAGGGTTAGGTTTTAGCCTATTAGATAACTATTCGACAATTTTCGAAGGCCAACTTCTTAACTCTGCATATGGTCAATCCTACAGGAAATAAAAATTGTTGTAACGTGCCAGTGCATTTGTTAAAAACCAAAATAAGTCCGCGTTTGGAATCCTGCTAATATGCACTCGAATTATAAATGTGGAGATAGGCTATAACCTTGATTAACATATAGGATATTATTTGAAGGGAGCTGCCACCTTTTTCAAAAGTTTAAATCAATTAACGGCTCAACAACGATTTATTTCGAAAATACTTTTGAAGGTTGAAAAATGTAAAAACAGGTTAATTAGCAAGTTAAATTAAAATACACATTTAAGAAAGCTTATTTAACAAAAAAAAAAAAACATTTGACGAGGGTTGCCATCTGTTTTATACAGTCAGCGTTAAAAATATGAACACCCTGACGTTTTGACAATTGTATTTATTTATGCTTTCCATACCAAAATTTTATTATTATTATTTTTTTTTTAAATATAGCTAATTGAACTGCAAAAACCGGCAGAATCAATATTTTTAATTTCATATACTCAGGAAAATTCAAAAAATTTTCATCAAAAGAAAAAGAGTTTCTCGTCAAAAATTTTGCGCATATATTTATAAAAAATACGAAAATTTGGTATGAAAAATATAAATAAATAAAATTGTCAATACGTCAACGTATTCATATTTTTGACGTTGACTGTAACTCGAATTCAATTTAATTAACAAGTTAATGAAGTATTATAACACGGGTTACTCAACTCTGTATGGGTAGTCTATATTGTAAGACATCGTCTGTGTTAAGAAATTTAAAATTTAACTCAGAGCTACTGAACTATGTATTTAACCCAGGATGTTCTGCAAGTTAGCCTTACTTAGATATACATATAGGTAACATTTTTTTTTTAATTCTTCAACTTACTTTTACATCGTTTAAAATCAACAATCCGCAACATTTCCGTTCATTTACCGCTTTTGTATAGCCCCCGGTATTCATTGATGTTGTGATCAATTTTAATGCTTTTTCTGCTAACTTTTCACAACCCGGTAGAGGTTTCATAATTTTGTCTATAAATGCGCCATCGAAATGCTCCAGCCTCAAGGAGCTCATTAGTAACGGAAGGTTTGTAGCACGTGCATTCTTATCATGTTCGTACCATCTCAAGATGGCCTGAAAGATATCCACTTCACAGTCAATGTGGAGGTTATCAGCGCTTAAAATCTGATTAAGAAGTTCTGGCGAAAAGTCAAGAAACTCTGGACTGACGATGACCTTTTTTGTATGGAAAATAAAAGTAATTCTCGTAAAATTATCTTTCTATAAAAATCAAAAATTTAGTCGCTAAAATTAGATTCGATTTATAAAGCATTTAAAGTCGGTTTATATTTTTTTTTATGAATTTGCGTGTAATTTTTAGATTCTTGTTTATCGATATCATAAAATAACAATCTTGCAAATGAACTGGAAATAATTGGAAAATTTAAGTAACGATTATTCACACTGCCTCTATTTAGGAAATCCTTAAACGCATAAATGTTGCTTACGTATGTAAGTATATTCGATACACTTTCCAAAACAGCTTAGTTTAACTTGCCTCTGTGGAGTGACTAATCGCATAGTGGATAATTTCACGATTTTTCTCTTCTAGTGCTGACATCATGATTAGCGCCTAGAACTTTTAACTTCCTCCATTTGAACACTGCAAAAATTATTTATCAATGAGACGAACCAAGCAACTGAGGTTTCTGTGTGTATGGTAAAGAATTTATATATAAAACATCGAAGAAAACTACTAAGATACACATACATATGTACATATTCACATTAGAACGTACCACCTCACAAACAAGCAAAAAGAAAGTTCGCCGTACCCCCTAAGTCGAAGCATTTTTGCAAGTCAAATTCGAAAAAAAAAATGTTTGGTCAAAAGTAACTTAGGGTTTACACCGGACAATATTGTCAAGACAATTATGTCAAAATGATGTGTTTGTTGTAAACACGGCGAATTCATATTATATTATATTATTCCGGGTGTAAACCCTAAGTAAGGGTCGGCAATAAAATTTTTTTTAAAGAGTTCTACTGGAAAACAAAACAACTTCCTTAGCAAAAGTCTAATGATTTTTGGAGAGCTTTAGTTTACTGACATTTTTATGGTACGTTCGGGTAATAAGAACTTTGATCTAGTGGGTAAGTACTAGGACGGGATTATCGATGTCAATGAACTTTGCAACAAAAAAAAAATTCAACAATTCAAAAAAAACAACCGAAATTGCCTTTCAAAAATATGTAATATAAGTATGTATGTAGATTCAGGGGTGTACGACGAACTTTTTTTCTGGTACAGTCTAATGTACATCGATATGAATGAATGTATATTTAGAAAACAGACGGGGGAAATACACTTTAGACAACAATACGGCGTTTGCAATTGTTACATGTGAACGTACATATGTACATACATACATTTGTGTATGCATATATCACAAACGGGTGAAATTCCAAATTTAAAAACTGCATTTACTTGCGCATTAAATGATAAAAAAAGCGTTGTGGTAGAAAGGGCGTTGCTATCTTTCCAGCAATCAATTGCATTATATAAGGGGTATTGTCGAACTCTTGCAATGCCCTTGCATGGTGCACGGTTTGCAAGGCTGTCTCCTAGAAAAACCGTTTTTTTTATGCAATCCGTGCACAATGCCTTTGCAAGACTTCGAGAATACCCCTACAGCTACAAAAGCTTGTCATCAACGTTGTGGAAATCGATTTGTTTGAAGTTGTTTTAGCTTGAAACTTGCATTAGGGTCTTTGCAAAATAACTGATTGAAGAAAATGAGTTAGGAAGGCTTTTATTCTCTCTCTTAAAATTTAAAAAACTCAATTTACCATCTTTTCACTATAAGCTATCGATAAATAGTTTTCGGCCGATTCCCTTAAATATGATATATTTTTCCAGCTAAACATACATATATATTTCTCAAAGCGGTGAATCACACTATTTTTTGAACACATCTACATAATAAAAAGAAAAATATTTCTGTTTTTAACAAATCGACTACTATAGGTGATTTTTTGTAACAATTTTTTTATTTGTTTCTGTTTTTAGAATTTTTATTTTAAAGAATTGATACCTCTTTAGAGGGGTTAGCGAACGGGAAAATTGTGACGAAAATCGTGTGACTCCTTCCCTTTCCCCTTCTCTTTTTCCACCTTCCATATAGGGATGCAAACGATGCATCGATGTTTCTCAAACATCGATAACATCGGCCAAAAAACCGATGTTAACCATCGATATTTGAAAATTACTCAACATCGTAAAATTGGCGATATATCGATGTCAATTTTAACGATGTTTTAAACATCGACTTTAGTTTCGGTTTAAAATTGCCATTGCGTTCACATCTTTATCATGAACGACAGACACAAGATCACGTAAGAACAAGACAGTGAAAAAAGTCGATTTTTTT